AACAGCTTTTCTGACATTATTTAAAACATTAGATTGTATAAACTATAAAATATTAATAATAATTGGATTAATATTATTATTAATAGTTTTTATGATTTCTACATCATCAGTCCTGTTTTTCTGCCAACATGTACAGTAATGGGAAATCCAGACTGTTGGTTTCTGAGCACTCCAGCTGTTATATATACGTACCTCCATGCATTTCAGCACAAAATGACTCAGTAAAACACTTTGAAGTGCAGACGACTTTGTGATCGACTCACTTTCCCTCAAATTCATCACTTCAACTTTTTCCAGTTGTGGATTTTGGCAAACAATATAAATTCAAACAAAAGGATACTTACTGTTGTAAAAGTAAAGTAAAAAAAGAAAAGATCTTTGATTTCAGAAGTTTTAAACACACAAACATATATCATCTGGTCCCCACTAAATATTAAAATGAGACAAATGTAATTTCAACAACGACACAGGACTTATGTGATCATCAAACACATCATCAACATTCAATACTCGTGAGTGAAAGACTGAGTCCACCTCCACAGTATCCATGTCAGGAGAGGAGCTGCTGGTCAAAGGCAGGTGTGTTCACCTCTATAAAAACAGGTTTGTCACTTTTCTGGAAAGACATCATCAATACTGACCTCTGTTGCTGCTGATCAGTGTGACAGGGGTTAAAGCTTATTTTCAAACTGTTGTGGAATACTTATTTCTGTATCACCTTGACACTGTCCACTTTTCATATCTTGTGATATCCTCCGGACGTCATCATCGAGTTGACCTATTTCCGTGTATCAGGATGGGGCAGGTTATGATTGGTTGTTCATTCTCACACGATGTTAGATGACAGAATGCTGTATATGAGGCCTCTCGAGACACAGTGTGCAACAGAGTTAGACAGTGAGCAGTGTGGAGAGACTGACAGAGAGGCACAGAGACAGGCCACGTTCTCTGTGTTTCCTGTTGTTGCAATAAAACTCAGCTGATCATCTCACGGAGTACCTTCATTCTTGACCAGAGTATTTCTGTCTCTGTTGTTAAATAAATATTGCCATAACACAAACAACTGGAGGTCTGTCATGCTGCAAGAAAAAAATTAGCCATAGTAGCATTTTTTTAAATTATTTTTCAGCTCTGGGTGTTTCAAAATTCATCCTGATGCCAGAAAGTGAAATATTCAGAGCAAATAAAAGAAAAAAAAAAAAGAAGAAAAACAGCAATAGTTGAGATCCCACAGGCCTCAGTTAGAAAGTTAAATGTTGAAGTTCATGACAGTAAAATGAAGAAAAGAAATGTTTGTCTTGTTTGGAAGGGATGCCAGCATCTTCCTCATTACTCACCTGTCCTTCAGTCTGAGCTGTTTGTTACTTCAGCAACTGGTTTTCATTCACTTATCAGGTCATTACTGTGTATTTTTCCTGCATTGTTTTTTTTTTTTTTTTTTTTTTTT